ACATCTATAAATACATATACACATACATCTATAAATACATATACACATACATCTATAAATACATATATATACACATCTATAAATACATATATATACACATATATACATTTATATATACACATATATACATTGAAATATATACATACATACATTTATATATATATACATACATACATTTATATATACATATATACATCTATATATACATATATACATTTATATATACATATATACATACACATATACATACACATACACACATACATACATATACATACATACATATGCATACATACATATTTACATATAATAATAATAATAATGTCATCACAATGTCAGCACTGTATGTTTCCATACAATGGCGAAATTAGTCTCTGCATTTAACCCATCCACCACCAGGTGGTGCAGTGGGCAGCTATTGAAAGCGCCCGGGGGACATTTTGGGGATTAGACGTGCTGCCCAGAGACGCCACGTGATACATACATACATACATACATACATACATACATATATACATACATACATACATATATACATATACATACATGCATACATCTATAAATACATACATATATGCATACATCTATAAATACATACATATATGCATACATCTATAAATACATACATATATGCATACATCTATAAATACATACATGTATGCATACATCTATAAATACATATATATATTCATACATCTATTCATTTATATATATACACATCTATACATCTATACACACACACACACACACATACACATATATATACATATATACATATACATATACATACATATATACATATACATACATATATACATATACATACATATATACATACATACATATACATACATGTATACATAAACATATACACATATACATTTACACATATACATATATATGCACATACACATACATACATATACATACATATACGTACATACATATACATACATATACGTACATACATATACATACATACATACACACATATATATACACAAGTATTATTCCAGGAATTGAACCCAGGGGTCTACAAATTTTATTTTTTTATTTATTATTTAACTTTTATTTAACCAGGCGTATTCCATTGAGATCACAGTTCTCTTTTGCAAGGGAGGCCTGGGCCTGAACACAGCCTAACAAGCATGTTTTTGGTCCGTGGGAGGAAACCAGCATAATCAGAGAAAACCCACGCAAGCACGAGAAGAACATGCAAACTTCACACGGAAAGATCCCAGGTCAAACCAAGAATTGAACCCAGGACTTTCTTGCTGTGAGACAACTTTGCTAACCACTGAGCCTTTGTGTTGCCAAAATTAAGACTCCATTATTTCAGATTGCTGTTCGACTCATCATCTCTGCAAACAAATGACTTAATGACAGCATTCTTATTTACAACTATTGGAATTAGCAATAGTTTTTGAAGATACAATCAAACTTCAAAAATAATTGAACATGTTTTCAAGGTTTTTGCAAATACAAGCCATTTCAAGCAGGCTGTAAAAACACCTGCTAGTTATTAAAACATTTAACAATGAATAAGACAAGCAAGAAGCTACATTGATTGGTGCTTTTTAAATATGATGTTCACAAAGTTTTAGTTGGTTTTCCAGATGGCTCATGATTAAATTTTTTTTCTGTTTATTGTCTCAAACAGTTCAGCTGTATGATATCTAATTTCCAAATGGCATTGGACTGTTTCCCTCTCTTTTTTCATGTCATTCTGGACTTCCTGAATATTTAATCAATCACTTGGTCATGTGTTGTGTACAGTCTCAAGAGGACCGAGATACTCGAAGGTTTCAGCTAAAGATTGCTGAGCTCAGCGCAGTCATTAGGAAACTGGAAGACCGCAATGCTCTGCTGTCTGAAGAACGAAATGAACTGGTAATAATAGCTATGTACACTAACTCTAGCTCTAACACAACCTGAACATTAAAAAAAATAGACTGGTGTATTTTGAAGTGATGGTCTGTAAAATAGTTACCGATATCACATCATTTCATGGAGCACGAACTGGGGAAAAAGAGACAAAAATCTTCATCAAGGCTAGGATATGACTATCCAAACTTTGGACTAAAAATATCCCAGAGCCCTAGATGGCACAAGATTTTGTTGAGAAAGACAAATTCATAAACATTTTGTTCAGCATGACTTATTGCTTTACTGGTTCTATATTTTTAATAATGCTGTATTTTTTTTTATTATATTGTAGGATTTTTATGTTGTTCTATTTTTTTTTTTTTTTTTTTACTTCAGCTGAAGCGTCTGAGAGAAGCAGAGAGCCAGTTTCTTCCACTTTTGGATAAAAACAAACGCTTGAGCAGAAAAAATGAAGAACTGTCTCTTGCCCTACGTCGCCTTGATAATAAACTTCACTTTGTCACCCAGAAGAACCTAGAGATGGCAACTATGGTAATCAACAACACATGGTCAAACCAGTACATGAACTCAACAAGACAAACACATTTCAATCTGCATTCAACCAGCACAGTTCAATAATTGCTTTTCACCACCATTCACATTTAACACATTAAAAATACTTGTTGATAGGGAGGATTTTGATCTTATCAAGAGCAATTCCTACCAATACATATCATGATTTAACTGAAACACCCATTGTTCCTGGCAAACTTAATAACATCAGCTTCTGTTTTGGTACACAGAGGAGACCGAGTTCATTGAATGACTTGGATCACAGCCATTCCACCAGTTACCATGGTTATGGACAGAATGAGAGAGAAATTGAGTTCCTACGGTTACAAGTGATGGAGCAACAGCACATTATTGATAACCTATCCAAGGTACTACTCAGAATCAGCTTTATTGCCATTGCACCGAAGCACAACAAAATTGAATTTCAGTACAGCCCATCTGAGAGAAACATGAACAAACAGACATGGGGCTGTTACAGCTACTATAGCTTTACAGAATAAGAATGCCTTTATTGTCATTATACGCAAGTACAATGAAATTAAGAGCCATTCCTTTTTTCAGTGCAAAAACATACTTAAGTAAAACACATAAAAAATGTAAAAAATTTAACGTAATATAGATATAATAGCACTATGAAAGTAAAAATACAAGTATTTCACAATTATATTGCACATTATGGATATTAGTGAGGTAGTTAAGGTGATTGACAGTATGAAATGTCAGTAGTATTGCACAATAGAAGTCCAGGTGTTTGGGAGGTTACTGTAGATTATTAAATCAGTGCATGTGTGAGTTCAGTGTGGTGATGGCTTTCGGGAAAAAACTGTTCTTGAATCTGTTTGTTCGTGTTCTGATGCACCTGTAGCGCTTCCCTGAAGGTAACAAGCCAAACAGTTCAAAACTCGGGTGTGAACAGTCCTTGATTATGCTTTCTGCTCTGTTGAGGCAGCGTGATGTATAAATGTCCATCAGGGAGGGGAGATGGCAGCCAATTATCTTTTGTGCTGTCTTGACTACTCTCTGAAGCCTCTCCCTGTCAGCCAGGGTGCAGCTGCCGTACCATACTGAGATACAGTATGTCAGCAGGCTCTCGATGGACGAGCGGTAGAAAGTCAACAGCAATTTGGTGTTCAGGTTGTGCTTCTTAAGTACTCTTAAGAAGTGTAGTCTCTGCTGAGCCTTCTTGATGACCGCTGTGGTGTTCTATTTCCAGTTAAAGTCAGCAGAGATATGGACACCAAGAAATCGGAAAGTGTGAACCCTCTCCACGCACTCGCCGTTGACGTAAAGGGGGGCTAGGTTGGTGCTGTGCTTCCTGAAATCAACAATTACCTCCTTGTGTTTTTTTGATATTCAGAGTCAGATTTTTCTCTGAGCACCAGGTTGCTAGCTCCAGGACCTCCTGTCTGTAAAATGTCTCATCTCCCTTAGAGATTAGTCTGACCACTGTGGTGTCATCAGCGAACTTGACGATGAGGTTGTTGTTGTGGGCCGAGCTGCAGTCATGGGTGTAGAGACAGTACAGAAGGGGGCTCAGCACACAGTCCTGTGGGGAGTGAGTGCTCAGCGTACGAGTGGAGGAGAGGTGGGGACCAAGTCTTACAGATTGGGGCCGATTGGTTAGGAAGTCTTTTATCCAGGCACAAGTGTGTGTGTGTGTGTGTGGGGGGGGGGGGGGAGATTGTCCAATATATTTATAAGAATGTCCGGAATGATTGTATTAAAGGCCGAGCTGAAATCCACAAAGAGCATTCGAACGTAGCTGTGCTGTTGTTCCAGGTGGCTCAGCGCGGTGTGGAGAGCTACTGTAATAGCATCCTCCGTGGACCTGTTGGTGCAATATGCAAACTGGTAGGGGTCAAAGTTCAGAGGGAGATAGTCCTTGATAGGCTGGAAAACCAGTCTCTCGAAGCACTTCATGATTACTGGAGTGAGAGCCACTGGTCGGTAATCATTCAGGCTGGTGATGGTAGGCGTTTTCAGCAGTGGGATGATGGTTGCAGATTTTAAGCAGGGAGGGATGACTGGCTGGGCCAGGGAGAGATTGAAAATTCTGGTGAAGGTGGGGGCAAGCTGGAGGGCACATGCTTTGAGCACCCTACCAAGTACTCCATCTGGGCCAGTAGCTTTCCTGGGGTTCACTGATTGGAGCGAACATCTAACATTGTGCTCCCGTACAGTGAATGGAGTGGTGCAGTAACCGGGTAGGTGTGGAGGCAGGGCAGGATCAGATGAGTGCTGCTGTGGTGCATCAAAGCGTGCAAAGAAGCAGTTTAGCTCCTCTGCTAGTGATGCCTCAGGTCTCATGTTGTCACCTCACAGCCTCTATAGTGTATGATGTTTTTTTAACAAACCTTATAGTGGAAGTACTATGAATGAAACAACTTGTAGTATTAGTACTATAATAATAATAATAATAATCATTTTATTTAAAAAGCGCCTTTCAGGACACCCAAGGACACTTTACAGTAAGAAACATATCAGAAAGATTGTGTTAAAACAAACAAGCACAGTGCAAAGGTCAACAGGAATAAATTACACAAAGACTATAAATACATACAGAATATAAAATACTGCAGGTGTAACAACCCTACATATCCTATACTAGAACTCTTACAACCCTCTTGTGCAGTACAACAGCTATAACAATTGTATAGTACCAGAACATTGGTAGTAATAAACAGTTTGAGTTTTATAGCTGCAACATCCCTATAGTACCATGTACTACAGTTGCAACAAACCTGTAGTACTAGAACTACAGCTGCAATAACGAAAAATAACAAGAACCACCATCAAATATTTTGCAATACAATGTTCAACATACAGGTCCTTCTAAAAAAATTAGCATATTGTGATAAAGGTCATTATTTTCCATAATGTAATAATAAAAATGAAATTCATATATTTCAGATTCATTAGACACCAACTGAAATATTTCAGGTCTTTAATTGTTTTAATACTGATGATTATGGCATACAGCTCATGAAAACCCAAAATGCCTGTCCCAAAAAATTAGCATATCATGAAAATGTTCTCTAAACAAGCTATTAACCTAACCATCTGAATCAACGACGTAAATCTTAACACTTGCAAAAGATTCCTTAGGCTTTTAAAAACTCCCAGCCTTGTTCATTACTCGAAACCGCAATCATGGGTAAGACTGCCGACCTGACTGCTGTCCAGAAGGCCATCATTGACACCCACAAGCAAGAGGGTAAGGCACAGAAAGTGCTGAACGAATAGTCTGTTCCCAGAGTGCTGTATCAAGGCACCTCAGTGGGAAGTCTGTGGGAAGGGAAAAGTGTGGCAGAAAATGCTGCACAACGAGAAGAGGTGACCGGACCCTGAGGAGGATTGTGGAGAAGGGCCGATTCCAGAAGTTGGGGGGCCTGTGGAAGCAGTGGACTGATTCTGGAGTAGAAACATCCAGAGCCACTGTGCACAGGCGTGTGCAGGAAATGGGCTACAGGTGCCACATTCCCCGGGTCAAGCCACTTTTGAACCAGAAACAGCGGCAGAAGCGCCTGACCTGGGCTACAGAGAAGCAGCACTGGACTGTTGCTCAGTGGTCAAAAGTACTTTTTTTCGGATGAAAGCAAATTTTGCATGTCATTCGGAAATCAAGGTGCCAGAGTCTGGAGGAAGACTGGGGAGAAGGAAATGCCAAAATGCCAGAAATCCAGTGTGAAGCACCCACAGTCAGTGATGGTCTGGGGTGCCATGTCAGCTGCTGGTGTTGGTCCACTGTGTTTTATCAAGGGCAGGGTCAATGCAGCAGCTATCAGGAGATTTTGGAGCACTTCATGCTTCCATCTGCTGAAAAGCTTTATGGAGATGAAGATTTCATTTTTCAGCACGACCTGGCACCTGCTCACAGTGCCAAAACCACTGGTAAATGGTTTACTGACCATGGTATTACTGTGCTCAATTGGCCTGCCAACTCTCCTGACCTGAACCCCATAGAGAACCTGTGGGATATTGTGAAGAGAAAGTTGAGAGACGCAAGACCCAACACTCTGGATGAGCTTAAGGCCGCTATCGAAGCATCCTGGGCCTCCATAACACCTCAGCAGTGCCACAGGCTGATTGCCTCCATGCCACGCCACATTGAAGCAGTCATTCATGCAAAAGGATTCCCGACCAAGTATTGAGTGCATAACTGAACATGATTATTTGAAGGTTGGTGTTTTTTGTATTAAAAACACTTGTCTTTCATTGGTGGGATGAAATATGCTAATGTTTTTGGACAGGCATTTTGGGTTTTCATGAGCTGTATGCCATAATCATCAGTATTAAAACAATTAAAGACCTGAAATATTTCAGTTGGTGTGCAATGAATCTGAAATATATGAAAGTTTCATTTTTATCATTACATTATGGAAAATAATGACCTTTATCACAATATGCAATTTTTTTTAGAAAGACCTGTATTTAAACACTCTATATCAATTATAATAATACTTCAGATGTAAGAACCACCCAATCTGGATCTGTACTGAACCTTATTCCACTCAAACTGTGTGTTTTCAGGCTCTGACAATGGCAGGTTATATAAATAATGTTACTGTAAGTTTTACAAAGTGCTTCCACCATCCACTACAACTACAACTCAGGATTTCTTTAACATGTGGAGTCGTAAGATTACACTTTTTTTTTTGTCTTAGTACTGAACTACAAAATGACTGATGAGGTTTAAAATTAGAATGTGAATAAACTTTATGAGTGTTGCTGTTTGTTTTTGTTCTCAGGAGCGCGACATGTTGCTGAGATACAGACGTCAGGAGTCTGTGAGACAGAAGAGAACATTCAGAGCCTGCAGGGTGAAGAACACAAAAACTCACAACACTATGAAATGTTCTCCTGGTACCACCAGAACCAAACATCATCAACATCACATACCCCACTAACAAAAATATTTCCAACAGAGTCATCACACTCCAGTACAATAACAGCTGCTGGGACATAAATAATTATCCCAACTTCTGTAGCACTCATGAAGCTAAGGAGTCATGATAATTATATAGAACAGTATAGAGCTGTCATTTCTAACCCGAACCCAGAACCCGGCCTGGACCAACCTGGATTAGGGCCAGTCTGGGCCATAATAATGTGATTAATATGCAGGCCAGGCTGGTCTTAGGCTTTGATGCGGTTTTACAAATCATACAGCACAAATAAAACTAAATAAAAATGCAAGATATGACATTGTGATAATCTACTTAGAGGAGAAGGCAGTAAGTTAACTGATGAGGAATGGAAATGAATAAAATAGAGTGCAGAAGTTAATTAGAAAAAAAGAGTAGTGCTGGGGGAGCACTGCGCGGCAATTACGTATGGCCCCGCCCACCTGCTTTGCTCCTCTTATGAGACATGCAGAAGTACTGGAGTGCAAAATCATTATCCACGACTTACACAGAGCTGCACTTTTCCTGTGGCCTAATTTTAACAAACTTAAAATGATGATACCTGCTGATGTGTGTCAGGTGCATGCTTACGTCCACACCCTGCTTTCACTATATTATATATATATATATATATATATATATATATATATATATATATATATA